TACTTGCCAATCGCGTACTGTTGTACTGTCCCTCTCCGATACAAACGTAACATCTATATGCGACCTTGAAATTCCGCCGGCGTATACTCTGGAGAAGGTCGGTCGGTCCCCCTTGTTGCACACGGCAAGGCCCAGACTAGCTGCCATGTCCCCTAGTGCACGTCCTTTGGGTTCTTCGCTATGGTCTCCCCACGCTGGTGACTTCGCGTTGAAGTCCCCTGCGACTATTATAGTAGGCTCCTGTTGTTTAATGCTCTCCTCGAGCCTATCCAAAAAATCCACGAATAATGTGTAGGCCGTGTTGGGGGACCAGTAACACGCGTATATTGTGATATCCTCCACCTTGATCCATCTGAAACCTCTGTTGTCCTTAGGGCCAATTGTTTGTATCTGCAGATTTCTGTTGAGTGCTAAAATAGCCGCCCTTTCATCGATGTCGCTGAACCACCCTTCAGCCTCTTGACCACATCTGTAGGGTTCGCTAAGAACCAGCACATCGACTCCCGTATCGGATGCGGTTGCCAGTGCTAGGTCCTGGGCCGCCCTGCATACACCAACGTTAATTTGCAGTATCCGGATCATTGCGTTGGGTCTGAACTCCCGACTGTTGGAAGTCTTAAATCCCCTCCTTTCCCTCCATTTTTCAGATGGGTGGCAAACTCCTTCGCTGTTCCATCCGTAGCTTCACATTTATACGCTTGGTGTCCTGTGACTCCGCAACGCCTACAACATAGGCTTCTGTCCGGGCCATTGCACTCCCTGGACGTATGGCCAAACGAGAGGCAGCGGAAGCACCTCATCCTCCGTTCGGCTTGCCTAATCCTACAATTCACCATTCCGATCTTCATCCTTCCATGTTCCACAACCTTTTTGCCTATTGCTGTTGGGACTAGTGCCAGCGCCGTCTGCGATGCTCCAAAACCTTTTCTTATGTTTATCACTCTCGTGTCTGCGTGGTTGGAGCCTGATGCAACTGAAACCGCATCAGCTACCTCTTCCGCCGTCGTCCATTGATCTATGTCCCTAATTTCTATTACCATTCTTTGCTGTAGAGAGCGCACCTCAGCTCCGTCTCCAGCCGTCTTAGAGACCTCCTTTCTTACTGCCTCGACCTCCTCTGCATCGCCCTTGATTTCCAACAAGATGTGCCCGGCCTTTGTCTGCCTCATCCCTACTACGCGTTCTCCTATTACATCTGGGTTCACACCGTCTCTAATCTTCTTCACCAGGTTCGGAAGATCTGCTTGATTATTAACGTCAACCACGATCGCCGCTGGCCGCGTCCTTGTTCCACGCCTCTTTGATTTCTCAGGTTTTGGCTTCGTTGCAGGAGGTTCATCATCCATCTTAGCCGGGACCTTGTTCTTTTTCTTCTTCTTGACCACTTCTGTCCACATTGTTGTTTGGACCTGCTGGTCCGTTGGCTCGCCGCTCTCTCCGTCTCTCATCCGTTTGGTGTTGGTCGCCTGGTTCCTCGGCTCTCTATCGCCTCCGATGTCCCACCAGCAGGGGGTCTGTGTCTCGGCATCTATAGTGCAGGCCGACTTTTGCACCTTGGCCGGAGCGTCTTTGTTCCGCCCTTGATGACGCACCTTGACGTATTGTGCCATGATTCTGCTGGAGTTAGTAAGCGTCTCCTTCAACTCCTTATGAACGTTTCTGGTTGCCCCAGCGAATGCGCACATTGAATTGATATACCCCCGTAGCAAGTCCAAAAAGGCTTCCTCACTGAGAGCACCAATATCAATTGTCCTCTTCTGGAGGCCGACAGGTTTATTGCTCGACTTGTCTGCACCTGCCGCGAGGCCAGATGACTCAGCACTAGTAGTGGGAGGGATGACGGGGGCCTGGCTGGCCACCCCCGTATCCCTGCGGTCACTGGATGACGACCGTCGGGAGCCCGCTTGCTCACCCCCGACTGCCGGCAGGTTAGGTTAGGTTTAGCTAGGTCCGAATCCCCTGATGCGGTAACAAAATTTCTGTTCGAGACGTCCATTATGAGTTTTTTGAAGGGTGCCTCTCCCTTGCGTTTTTGCCCTACCGCCAGGGGGGTTTGGAATCGGTGTCGCCTTCACCTAGGACGGCTGCCTGCCGAGGCTAGAGAGCCCGTCCTACCCTTTGGAACCTCTTAGTTGTCTCTCTCGTACGCGACTTTCCGGTATGTGTAGCCCTGCCGGCATGCCGGCATAGCTCGCGGAGTCGACAAGAGACGTAAGCCCCCCCACCACGACAAGGTGGGTTCCGTCGGGGGAGGACAAAGAGCTACCTAGACGGCCGAAAGGCCCACCTGGCGATTGGAGACATGACACTCTCGACGACCCTAACAAAGGGTTGCCCGCAGGGCTCGGAGTTCGGTCCCGACCTCTGGAGGTACGCGGTCAACCCGCTCTTGTCCGGCGATCTTCCCCCCGGGACGGAGATAGTCGCATACGCGGACGATTAGGTTAGGGTTAACCCTAGTTAACCTTTTTTTTTTTTTTACGGTATCGTAGGGGGGCCGGAAATACCCGTTAGAGCAGTTCGCCAGCTCCCCCCACATCGTTTATTATTCGTTAAACAGCAAATACAAATACATGGAATATACGAATAGCATCACACACAGTAATAGATAGCCCTACGCTATCTTAACAATTGGCCTTCGGCCCACATTTTAGAAGTGCTTAACTAACTAGCATTGACTTCTGGTCTTCGCTGCCGCTGTCTTTCCTCTCCTTCCCTAGTTTTTAAGACGAGGTTCACGAAGCCGTCGACGCTGCACCAATTGCTCCTATCCTCAAGCATCTTCGCAACCACGGAGTCCGGTGAGAGTTGACACCCAATCTTCGCCTCCAACTCCCTCCTCTGGCGCCACCACCTGTCGCAGCTGAAGAACGCGTGCTCGGCGTCGTCGACGGGCGCCGAACAGTCGACGCAACTTTGCGTTTCAAGCCTCTTGATGCGGTGGAGGTACTGCCCAAAGAGCAGCCATGACCGGTTAGGAATTGGGTAAGGTGGAAGTTGACCTTGCCGAATTTCCTCCTGCGCCACTGCACCACGTCGGGGATGAGCCGCCTAGTCCAGCGCCCCGACTCCTCCTTGTCCCATCGCGCTTGCCATTCCCGGTCGGTCGTATCCAAATCGGGCGGGGTCTCTGTGGCATACCTTCTTCTAAGAAACTCTGACCTCCGTTCCTTGGCGAGCAGGTCTGCCGGAGGGGTAGACGCTATGACGTTGGTCGCTGCTTCTGACACCGTGCGATAAGCGCAGATTTGCCGTAGCAGGACCTTCCGTTGCACCTTATTGAGTGACCTAGCGTTGCTCGGCACCAGATCCATGGTGTGCGCCCAGGCAGGCGCGCCGTAAAGAAGTACAAAGTGCGCTACGGACGATAGGAGACGCCTCCTGTCTTCGCGCGGGCCACCGATGTTTGGCATGAGCCAATTTTTTCCGCCCTGGCCGAAGCTTTGCAGACGTGGCTCTTAAAAAGCATGGACTTTTCGATGGTCACCCCTAGGTACGTCATCTCAAGAGAAATGGGGATGAGGTCACCGCACAACCTGATCTCAGGCGTTACAAACTTGTACCTAGAAGTGAACATGACTGCTTCGGTTTTACTGGCCGCTATCTCGAGCCCGAGGCTGCGTATCCGCCTTTCAACTTCTGCCAGGGCGTTGTTGGCCACGCTTTCCAGTTCGCTCACTGTTCTCGCTGACGCTATGATAAGATAAGCGTGTCGTCCGCAAAGCCGAGAAGTTCAGCACTACCAGTGAGCGCGCCTCTGAGCACTGGATCGAATGTCATGTTCCAGAGTAGCGGTCCAACGACCGAACCTTGTGGGACTCCCCCGGTTATTTCGAAGTCCAACCCTCTGCTCTGGGGGCCGTGAGATTGTGTGCTTCCTGATCTGGCGGAGAAATACGAACAAAACATGCGATAAAGGTAAGGTGGGACGCCCTACCTTGCCAACGCGGCCAGGATGTGCTCCCATCCTATGGAGTTGAATGCGTTTTTGATGTCGATCCCGATCGCCAGGCAGAACTTACCTCCGTTGACCTCTTGGACGATGGTGCTGCGCATCCGAAGGATCGCATCGTCTGTTGACAACTTCTTCCTGAAACCGAACTGGTTTGAAGAGAGATCGCCTCTGCACGCGATGAAATCTTCAAGTCTGCGCGTGAGGAGGGATTCTAGCAGCTTTCCAGCGTCGTTGAGTAAGCAGATCGGTCTGTAGGACGACGGTACTCCCTCTGGCTTGTCGCCTTTTCTCAGAAGCACTACATTGGATGACTTCCACTCGGACGGGAAGGTCCCACATCGAATGCAGTCGTTGAACACCTCGACCAACAAGGAGGGATCGACATTATGCACAGCTGCGAGAATGCGGCTGGTGATGCCATCCGGCCCGGGGGCTTTGTTTTTAGCCTTGGCCCTGTAGATAGCTGCACACACTTCGGCCGGGGTGAACGCTACAACGGGTTCGGCGGGTGCCACTGAATCGACCACTCTGCGCTGGTGTGTGGGGAACAGAGTGCCGATGACGTTTTCGAGCGTCTGATGCTCCATAGTGGAGGTTGCTGGGGGTCCCCTAAGTTTCCGCATGACCATTTTGTACGGCTTCCCGAAGGGGTCCTGGTCCACTGAAGCTATGAGACCGTTCCAACAAGCTTTCTTGCTTCGGGAGATCGCGTGCTTTAGCTGCTTTTTAGCCACGACGAGTGCGGTGCGAGTTCTCTCCAGCTCGGCGTTGGCGCGGTCATCGTCAAAGTCCGCGTTGGACCGCCTTCGTAGACGCGTTATGCGGGCGACCATTCTTACATTTTGGCGCTTCGTCCTTACGCACTCGGCGCGGAGATTGTTAATTTCCGCGTTCCACCAATGAACAGGCGGCTTCCCTGGTTTCGGTGCACGACGTTTGGGAAGAGCAAAGTCGCACGCCCTGCTGATCCTGGATCGGAGAATGGTTGCTCCCAGATCGGCATCGCTCGCGTCGTGGCGGGGCCTTCCATCGAGCCACTCAACGATCAGCAGACCTGTGCGGAGAGCTTCTGCATCAATTCCGCCGGAAGTGTTCCACCCGCGTGCGGTGGTTGGTGGTGGGGGGGAGGGTTCTGTGTGATTGGGCTGAGAGTAAAGCGAATATAGTGGTGGTCGCTGAAGTTGAATACGAAGTCCAAGACCCTCCAGTTGCCGACGCGTCTAGCTAGGGATTCGGATGCCAAAGTGAGGTCGATTATGGAGCCGGCGCCTCTCGCAAAGGTGGGGGTGGAGCCAGAATTTGCTATCACAAGATCCAAGGAATCAAGCATTAAGCTGAGTTCGTCCCCTCTACTGTTGCTGATCCAATCGCCCCAGGCAGAAGACCTGGCGTTGAAATCCCCGGTGATGAGGACAGGCACGCCTTGCTCGACGGATCTAAAGCTAGCCTCGAGACGATGGAGCAGATCGCTGAAGTCCTCGAGCGCCTGATTAGGTGCAGCAGTATATCTGCACTCCGTTGATACGGCTGATATGAATTCCCGGTCGCGTATGACGTTCGCTATGGTCACATTGTTGCTCGCAATGTAGATTGCCGCCCTCCGAGATCCCGCGCTAGCGAGCCATGCGCAGGGGTCGGTACCCACTCCGTAAGGGTCGCTTAGGAGCGCGATATCGACCTTCTCCTCAACCATGTACTGTGCGATTAGGTCTTGGGCCGCACTGCAATGGTTGAGGTTACACTGGACAAAGCTAAGCTCCATCACTGCGCTAGGTTCGCCCCCACCGCCGCCGCTCCATCAGGCAGCTCCTTCATCCCAGAGATGGACGTGATGGGCCGCTGCAGTTCCTGCTGATGGACCTGTTCAGGCTGCTGCTGCCGTGGCATCCCCTGGAGCTGGGGCTCTGTGCGGTGCATGCAGTCCTTAACCAAGTGGTCGACGGCTTTGCACCTAAAGCAGCGTCGTGGTTTCGCCTCATTTCTGCATTCCGCGGCAAGGTGACCTTTGCCTTGGCAGCGGAAGCAGGTTGGTTGGCTCTTCTCCAGAAGCTTGACCCTACATCTGGTCCAGCCAATGAGGACGTTCTTTGCCTCGACGAGCAGGATAGCGTCGCGTAGTGGCAGGGAAAGACTCGCGACGAGCTCACTTCGGCCGCCAGCATTCCTCCGGACCACAACCTCGTCGGCTGCGACATTGGTTACACCAACGCTAGCGAGGGCGCTTACAATTTCCTCCACCTCGGCCCACTCCGGGACATTGAGTAGAAGGACAGGTGTCTTCCGTTCCGGCCTGCGGATCCTGGCCTCCTCACCGACGACCTCGCGCATCTTATGCTCAAGGATCCCAGCCTCGTCCATGCCCTCTACCTCTAGTAAGATGCCGCCGGCTCTGGTGCGCCTGGTTGTCACCACCTTGACCCCGAGGGCGACGAGGTCGATGCTACCAGCTACCTTCTTCATCACTGCAGCCAGTGATCCACCCTCGGCCGGGCGGTCGATCGTCACTGCCGCGGTCTTGGGGGCCCTTTGCCGCAGCAGCGCGATTTTGCTGGTTGAAGGTCGAGGCTGACGGACAGGAGGTGGTGGAGGTGTAGCGGGTGCTTTCCTCTTTCCCCTCACCACTTCACTCCAGGTTGATCCCTGTTGTTGCTGCTGTTGTTGATCATCTGTTGCTTTCTGCTGCTGCTGCTGGTGTTGATCATCGGCTGCTGCCTCTCTTCGACTGCCGTTTGCTGACCGCTTCGGCTGCTGCTGCCGTTACCGGGTTCCTGATGTGGGTCCTGTTGCTTCAGCAGGCTGGGTATCGCTGCTGGAGGTAGCATCCCTAGACTCCCTGACCGCGGCATTGTTCTCGAGGCCGGTTGTTAAGGTCTCCGCGTGACTATGCCACTTTCTTCGTCTCCCCACATCGGATCTTTTCTCAATTCGCATGAACTAGAAGCACCCGGCTCGTGCACCTCAGCTTCTCCTTCAACTCCCGATGTACACATTTTTGTGCTTTGGCAAACTCCACCATGGTGAGTCAACGTAACGTTAGCTATGTTAAGGGCTCCTCGAGAGAAGTCAGAAATGTCGACAGTTCTTTTGCACGGCTGCGGGTAGGTGGTCTGCTCTCCACCGAGCGCAACCCAACCTAACGGCACTAGTAGCAGGAAGGATGATGACGGGGGCCTGGCTGGCCACCCGTATCCTGCGGTCGGTAGGATGACGACCGCCGGGACCACCTCACTCCCGACTGCCGGCGACCTGGGGTCCGAATCCCCTGGTGCGTAAATTCCAGTTGAAAGTCATTGGGTATTATAGTGATTTCTTCGCACGCATTTTACCCACCTGCCAGAAGTTTTATCGGTGATTTCACCTATGTATGTTTCAGGCCTACGGTGACCCATGGCCACAGTTAGTCCGAACTCTTTGATTGAACCTGCAAATAGGCCGGGATCGCGTAGTAAGACTCAGGTTAAGACCACCTGAACTCCCGACCATCGTAGGCGGATCCCGTGGGGAGACCTAGTGCCTTTTTCTAATCGGAATACACTCACCACCGGAACCGCCGTTAAGCAATGCTTCGGTGGTGAGTCGCCATCTTTAAAAACAAACAAACACAAAATGATTTTGGGGTGCGGAAGGACAGTCCCCAACCGCAGCCCCTCGAGTTAATTACATGAAAAGTTTGGGGCGTGGAGGACACCCCATGCCACGGCCTTACAAAAACATAATAGTAATAAGCCTGGGGTGGCTCCGCAGCTTTGCAGGAGTCAACCATCGACGGTACGGCGCGCGCCGACCGCCGTCACCCTCGGGCGACCGCGTCACCTCCTACGCCTAGACGGAGCGACACCCTGTCGGAACTGCCTGTCCCGTTCGGCGTCCTCCTTCGCCGACATCACGTCCCTCGCGAAACGGGAAACCGCCTCCCAGTTTGCCGGACTCTCCAGCATCTTGGGCACCAATCCGCCCGGATCGAAGTGTCCGATCGCGTCGAACAGACGCTCACGTTCACCCCTGAACGCTTCGCAGCGAACAAGGGTGTGGTGCGCGTCGTCGACTTCCTCACCGTAGCCGTCGGGTGGACCGCAATGGGAACACCCGTCAGACGGTGCACGGTTGATCTCCGGAGAAACCGGTTGAAACATCCGTGCCCCGTCATCAGCTGGGTGAGGTGAAAGGACATCTCCCCGTGTCTCCTGGTAACCCACCGGCAGTAGGTCGGGGATCAGGACTCAGGTCACTCGCGTCCGCTGTCCGCAGGTGGCACCTCGTCCGCATGTCCGGGCCCACTTTGCCAGCACGAGCCCTCAGGGACTGAGGTCGTCTCGCGCTGCCTCCGCCGGATCCTCCGACGGGGACTCCCGTCACGGTTCCAGCCGCTCCCTCCTGGATCGAACAACGCGGGCGTCTTGGCCAGAAGGGTGATGGGATGGTGCGCGACGACCGTCGCCGCGTCGTAGGACACGGTCCGGTACGCACTCACGCAGCCGATGGCGGCCAAGCGCTGAGCCGACGCCAACACCTTGGGGCCGGTCCGGCTGAGAGCCAGGTCGATCGCCCACGTCGGAGCGCCGTACAACATTACTGAATGTACGACGCTCACCAGCAGGCGCCTCCTGATCTCCCGGGGGCCACCAATGTTCGGCATCAACCCGCGCAGGGCCGCCATGACGCGCCTGGCCTTGTCGGCCGCGGCGCGATAGTGCGCACCGTAGTATGTCCCCTTCGCTTCGTGCACGACTCCCAAGTACTTGAGAGACGCGCACATCTGGACGGCCTGATCCCCGATACGCAGCCTGAGGTCCGCGGGGCCGTACTGGGCCTTGAACACCACGGCCTCCGTCTTGTCGACGGCGAGCCGAAGCCCCAAGTCCCCGATGTGCCCGGCGACCAAGGCCAGAGCCTCGTTCGCGCGGTCCTGCAGGGCCGACAACGTGTTCCCCTCCGACACGACGAGCGTGTCGTCCGCGTACCCGATGATTGTTACACCAGCGGGCAGCGGCAAGCGGAAGACGGTGTCGAACGCGACGTTCCACAGGAGCGGTCCGAGCACGGAGCCCTGGGGGACTCCGCACGTGACTCCCACCGTCACTGGATCGCCCCCGGAGTCGTCGCACACGTGCAGGACTCGGTCGCTGAGGTACGAATCGAGGATCCGTCGCACGTACGCCGGGAAACCCATACGCACGACAGCCGCGCGCACCACGCCCCATCCGACGGAGTTGAAGGCGTTCCGGATGTCCAGGCTCACGGCGACCGCGTAACGGCGCGCGTTCACGGCGGTTACCAACCGCTCGCGAAGCGTCCGCAACGCGTCGTCCGTGCACAGGCCGCTCCGGAAGCCGAACTGCCTTTCGGACAGTCCGACCCCGGTGGCCGCCATGTGGCTGTTCATTCGGGTCGCCAGCAGGAACTCGAAGATCTTGCCGACGTCGTCGAGGAGACACAGCGGACGGTACGAAGACGGCGCCCCCGCCGGCTTCCCCGGTTTGGCGAGAAGCGCTAGCCGAGCGCGTTTCCACCGCCCGGGGAAGACGCCCTCCCTCAGGCAGAGGTTAAACACGCCGAGAAGACGCCCGGGACTCACCGCGTGCACGACGCTCCAGACCCGGCTTGGGATGCAATCCGGGCCCGGCGCCCTGGAGCGGCTCCCGAAGCGCTTCACCGCCGCGCTAACCTCCCCCAGAGAGAACTCCGCGACGTCCTCGGACCGGTCTCCCCCGAGGTCGGCAGGCTCCCCGTCTCTGTCCCCTTGGGGGAAGAGGACGGCGGCGATGTCGCGGACCGTTTGCGGTTCCATCGTCGCCGTCGCCGGGGGCCCACGGATCTTCTTCATGACGACCTTGTAGGGTTTCCCCCAGGGGTCGTCGTCGACGGTCTTGACCAACTCTGCCCAGCACTTCGTCTTCGCGTCGCGAATACGGTGCTTCAGCTCCTTTCGAGCCTCACGGTAGGCTCGCTCAACGTCGGCCAAGGACCCGTCCCCGTCGAGGACGCGTCCGCGCCGCCTGATCCACAGCCGCTTTCGCCGAACGCATTCGGCGCGCGCGGCAGCGACACTGCCGTTCCACCAGTAAACTGGTGGTCTCCCCCGGGGATGTGGGTTCCTCCGGGGGAGAGCCGTGTCGCAGGCCGCCGCCACGCTGCCGACCAGCCTCTCGGCTTCGGCTTCGGCGCCGACGGAAACGGCTGGAGTCACCGAGGGCAGGGTCGCCCCCGTCCACTCCGCGGTGAGAACGGCCGCGGCCAGGAGGTCAGCGTCCATCCGGGATGTTCGCCAACCCGGATGTCTCCGACCGCCCGCCACCGCCGCCGGGGGATCACCGGGAGTGATCGGGAGCGCGCGTCCGGTGCGATAAGAGAAACACAAGTGATGGTGGTCACTCATGTTCTCCACGTCCGTACGCACGGTCCACCCCCGAATCTTCCTCGCGGCCGACTCGGAGGCGAAGGTCACGTCGACACACGACCCCATCCCCCTCCCGAAGAACGTCGGTTCCCGCCCCTCGTTCAAGACGATCAGTCCCAAAGAGTTCGCGAACGCGGCCAGGTCGTCTCCGCGAACCTCCGTGAGGCGGTCCCCCCAGGACGCCGACCGGGCGTTGAAGTCTCCCCCGACGATGAGGTCGACTCCGGCGCCGCGATGCTTCCTCACGGAGGTCTCGAGACGACCCAGGAACTGCTGGAACTCGGCGACGGACAGGGCGGGGGAAGCGTAGCAGCTGAAGACGCGGACCGCGCCCCCCACGGTAGCTGCCACGAACCCGTCGTCCGATTCCACATCGCCGAGTGTGAGTCCGGGGCGGAAGACTCCCACGGCGGCTCGACCCGTGGAGTCGAAGTGCCAGCCAGCTCGTCCGCCACCGTGCGGTTCACTGACCAGCGCCACCGCGATGTCTTCGGCCCTAATGAACTCCCCCAGCAGGTCCTGAGCTGCCCTACAGTGGTTCAGGTTTGTCTGCACATACCTGAGCTCCATCATGGCGAAGGACCGGACGCTGTCGCCACCGGTGAGGCGGGCCGGCTCGCCGTCCGCGATGGCCCCTCCCTCCTTGGCTGCTCCTTAGGCCCCTCCTTCTTCTTCCTCCCAGCTGTCCTCTTCTCCGCAGCCGCTTCGTTGGGGCAGTCCCGAGCGAGGTGGTCCGGGGAGTTGCAGCGGAAGCAAGTCCTCGGTTTCGCCTCATTTCGGCACTCCGCCGCGTGGTGGCCTTTTTGCTGGCACCGGTAGCAGGTGGGCTGACTCCTCTCCAGCAGCTTCACCCTGCATCGGGTCCAACCTACCACCACGGCCTTCGCTTCGGCCAAGGCGATGGCGTCGCGGAACGAGAGTTCCACCCTAGCCACGCGGTTGAGGCCGCCGCGTCCACCGCCGTTTTCCCTGATGGAAATCGGGTTTCCGTCAGACGGCGACCCGACGACGACCCCTGCCTTGACCAGGCCGCGGGCCACGTCCCCCGTTTCCGCCCACTCCGGAACGTCGAGCAGGAGAACGGGGGTCTTCCTTTCGGGCCTGCGCACTCTGGCGGAGTCCCCGGCTACCTCCTTGACCTTCCGCTCCAGGATGACCGCCTTCTCCTCCCCCTCTACTTCGAGGAGAATTCCACCCGCCTTGGTGCGCCTGGTGGTCACCACCTTCACCCCGAGGGAGGCCAGATCGATGGAGCCGGTAACCCTCCTCATGACGGTAGCCAGCGATCCCCCTTCGACCGGGCGGTCGATCGTGATCGCCGCAGTCTTGGGAATCCTCTTCCGGAGTAGAGCCACCTTACTGGCTGCTTGGCTGGGATGCCGGGCAACCGGTACGGGTGGTGTAGGCGGCTTCTTCTTTCTCCCCTTCCTGACCACCTCACTCCAAGTGGCCTGCTTCTGCTGCTGCTGCTGCTGCTTCTGCTGCTGCTGCTGCTGCTGCTGCTGCTTCTGCTGCTGCTTCTGTTGCTGCTGCTTCTGCTGCTGTAGCTTCTGCTGCTGCTGCTTTTGCTGCTGCTGCTGCTTTTGCGGCCGCTGCTGCTGTTGCTGCACCTGATGCTGCTCCTTTTTGGAAGCTCCTTGCGGGGAATCGGTGTTGGTGGCAGCGTCCTTAACCTCGCGGCCGTCGAGTGCTCCAGAGGGTCCTGTGGTGGTGGCCGCATCCCTGCTCTCTCGCTTAGCATGGGTGATTGGGTTGCTCGACGGAACCATCGCCTTCACGCACTTCAGCGAATGGTTAAATGCCGAGGTGACTTCAGCTCGGCAATTCTTAATCCCTTTTACTACCTCCAGGATGTCCCTGATCGCCGAGCTGACCGTGGGGCTCTGGCTCTTCTTTGACACAAACTCCAAATGGGCCGCCTTTTCAAACAGGAGGTCGAGACCACCCTGTTGGGTGCACAGCTTGGACCCGAGCTGTTTTGTTGCAGCCCTCAGTGCCTCAGTTGTTGCCTGCTGCCTTATCATCTCAGCACTAGTAGATGGTAGAGTAGCGGGGGCCTGGCTGGCCACCCCCGCACTCTCACGGTCGCAAGATGACGACCGTAGTGGGCCCGCTACGTTGGATCCGGCTTTGACCCCGGATCCACCCACTACTGCCGACCCCTGGGGTTCCGAGGCCCCTGGGGTGGTAACAATATTGCAGTTGGAAACGTTCATATTGTGTTTACAGTTTTCTCTGCCATTTTAGCCCTACTGGCAGGGGGATTTATTATCGGTGTTACCTTCACCTAGGACGGCTGCCTGCCGAGGCTTAAGAGCCCGCCCTACCCTTTGGAACCTCTTAGTTGTCTCTCTCGTACGCGACCTTCCGGTGTGGGTAACCCTGCCGGCGTAGCTCGCGGAGTCGACAAGAGACGTAAGCCCCCCCACCGCGACAAGGTGGGTTCCGTCGGGAGATCCGGAGTACACCCAACATCCAACTACCTCTAACCCAATCCCAACGTTCTGACGCCGGTGGACTTTGCAACGCACTCGTCTTAGCTCGCTTTGCCGCCACGGGTTAGGTTAGGTTAGGTATTTATTGTGTTCCGTAAAGACAGGCACCTGTCCTCTGCTCTGATCATCGAGATTGAGTACATGATGGCTAATCGAGCTAATGAACGTGCTCTCAAACAGGAGCACAGGATGCTCGTGGCTGCACTGGACGCAGGCAACTTAACTGTCACTAACCCCTCTATATTTTACTCATGGTGTATGAAGGAGGCCCTGGGCACAGCGAAAGTTCATCCATCTAGTACAGCAGAGTATCACGCAATCATGCAGGCGGCTACCGCAGCGTACGGTATGGCGCAAGGAGACTGGACACATGTAGAACAGAATTACAAACCGTTGAAACCTACAGAACTTATCATCAAAGTGTATGATCGCAAGACACAGATGGATGACTTATTTGACAAAATCACCTATGACACGCGGTTCAAAGCTGACTGGAAGTTGTGGAACGTGATGGGCACAGCCTACGGCAACCTCCACCTGATCCACCACAAGGAAGGACATGTCTTTGTTGTAACCCACGCTCACCTGGCAGGAGTGCGAGACATGATAGCGTCCTGGTTTGATGTTCTGCTGTACGCTCAGCTCGCTAATAACAAGTACCCTGATGTGTCCCTCTATCAGGAGGTTGAGACATGCATCACTCACTCCGTGAGTTATGCTGCAAGCTACCCTGTAGACATGTACACTGTGATGAAGATGTGGCCGTCCCTGTGTATAGGTGCCATCCTACGTGACAATGAGGGGTACCAGGTATTCATCGATGCTCTAACACCAGACATCCCTTATCCTGAACATCCTCTAATAACCTGGATCTTGGG